ATAAAAGAAATCTTACTAGAAAAATAAGCTTATACTTGCGTCTAATGTTCTAATCAGACCTATATAATATTAAATAGATTCATATAAGTTACTTTAAGATAAGAATAGAAGTGTTTAATTTACTTTCCTGCTTTTAGCACTAATCAGTATTTACACTTAGCTTTATTTTACGAATAGGAAACAATTAAGATTAAATACTATCACTTAGTTTTAAATCACTGATAAGGAATAATTAAGATTAAATGTTCGAATTCACTTTGTCGTCGCTAACAACCGGGGAAGGACCACGCTGTCACAGAATACCAGCGTAAAATTGTAGCGCAATGCTGCTGTGTTTCGTATGGTTAGTATAGAGAACCGGAGACCCTTTTATTGGAAACGAGGCATTCCATCTTAGTCCTCACGGATGACTAGTAAGGTATGCTGATAAACATACGAGTATAAACTTACTTATAATATGTGTTAACTATATTATTAAATGTATTTGCTCGTGGAAAATATACAGATCATTAATAAAAAATGCAAGTGAGTAATAATGAATAATTTATTTGAACAAATATTTCTGTATTAAGCTTTCATAAATTATGAGGTTAATTATTTATAATAATTAAAGTTAATTTCTGTAGCAGCTCGATTGATATTTTTAATTTTGATAATAGCATTTTTAATGATATAATGTTAATGTTGCTTACTTATTACCAAGGTGAGGTAGGTATCATAAAGGTACATATAAAATAATATATTATATGTTTATGAAACCTGCATGTCTGAGGGAAAAGAAAAAAAAATATTTCGAAGACATGTGAAGTTCGCCAACACGCATTGGGGCAGCGCGGCGGACACTTCCTTGCCCTAAAACCCTCTCAGAAATGAGGGGAGGCCTGTGCCCAGCAGTGGGACGTATATAGGCTGTAACTTTACTTTACTTTATGTTTATAGGTAGTAGAAGTTGCACATTGATGTTAATTAGATTAAGAAATTTAAGTGTTATTGTAGGTACTTAGATATTATCGATTTACAAATGGTAGTACCAATAGTACAAAAAAGATCAGCCTTATCACTGTCCTTAGAAATTACGTGCCTTTGGGCCCTCAGGTCATAGTATTTATAATATGCAAATCATAATATTTGCATAATTTTTCGTAATACTAATATTCTAATTTAATTTAGAATGCATAAAACTACCAAGTTATGAACTGCAATTAAAAGTAATAAATAGATTTTTTTGATATGATGTAATAAAAGTTATAATATTTAATTTGGTTTTTTGTCACAAAATGTATGTGCCGTAAAACAGCATAATTTTGCCTGATTCACAAACGTGTACCTGTCGTGAAATTTTAAAGCGAATTGAATGCAGAGAACTATGTCTTATTTATTTATTTATTTCACAATTTATGTACACACAAGTTAGGGAGAGGACACATCATGATAAAAAGTTTGTACAAAGGCTCTACTTATCTCACAATGAAATTTCTTCCAGTAGGCAAGTTTCAAACACATATGATTACTAAATGATTATAAGGTGTGCACTTTGTTATTATACAACACATCATATGGGTATAAATTAAATATATACGTCAGCTCAAATATTTATATATATATATATATATATATATATATATATATATATATATATATATATATACAAATACATATTAATACATATAAATATTTATATATATATATATATATATATATATATATACAAATACATGAATATATTCATATTTAAACAAACATTAATACATACATAAATACTTAATATAATATAAAGTCATAATTAAATATATAAACATATATACACACACAGATACATATATTTGTAACAGTATAGTAAATATCAGAGATTTGAGACTTACACAGAAGACAGTGATAAATAATGTTCTTTCACTCACATGTCGAACGAACAATGTCACTGTTTTGATTTCTCGAATGTGAGTAGGAAGCGAATTCCAGAGTCTTACTGCTTGTACGGAGAATGAACGGGAATATGAATGAGCATTAAAGGATGTGAATGTTAAGAGAGTTTTAAGGTGAGATCTACAAACTGTATCTGGGGATTTAAGAAAGGTAAATCGATTACGTAGGTATGTAGGGAAATTTGGGCTATGTAGGATGTTAAAAAGGAGACAAAGGATACGAGTGTTCCTGCGAAATCGGATCGGGAGCCACTTGAGTTGCTTTCTATATTTAGAGACGTGGTCAAACTTTTTGAGTCCGAAAATATACCGAATGCAAAGGTTTTGCAATCGCTCAAGTTTGTTTAATTGCTCCTCTGTGGCATCCAAAAACAGACATCAGCGTAATCTAAGATAGGCAAAATAAGAGTTTGAACAAGTGAGATTTTCGTAGATAAGGGTAAAAAACTTTGAAGACGTTTTAATGAGTGGAAAGCATAACAAACTTTTCTACCTAAGTCCGTTATGTGAGGACCCCATGCCCCATGACAATCTATTGTCAATAATTAAGCCCAAGTTCTTCACAGATTCAGTATAAGTAATTGATGTGCCATTGATAATCACATCTGTCAGGGTGCATTTATCAATTAAGCTACTAGTATATCTGCTTACTTACTATTATTGCTTGAGACTTACTTGGATTAGGTAATAGTTATACCATGTGATCTGGACCAACGACTAATTCTCTTCAAGTCATCATTCAGTGCTTCTATCGCCAATTTAGCTTCAGATGCCACAAAGTGACGGTAAAGCTGCAAATCGTCTGCATAAAGATGGAAGTTGGTGGATATTATTTTTGTTATAGAATTGATAAAAACGGTGAAGAGCAAAGGAGACAAGAGGCCACACTGGGGTACACCCGTTATAAGATTACACCAGTTGGAATAAGTGTCATTGAAACTTATTTTGACTTAACTTCAATATTACTAAAAAAAACCTACACTATTGGTATTTCCTATGTTCAAAACCTAATTTTTGTTAAATTTAATTTATTGACAACAACGCCATCTACTATTAGATGGTAACATTATATTGTATGAACTAGCCTGCTTAGTGCGAAACCTCATAAAATTATGTTATATAGGCTACAGATGGCACTTAATATAATCACTATTAAATAACCTGATATTCTTACCCATAGACTTATTAAACTAGTGCGTATGGACGGGGTCATTGAACAAACAAAATGATACCGATTCGCAGGTACGAAAATGTTTATGGAGCACCAACGCGAGCTCAGTGTTGTCTTGATTTCAAACGCGAGATGGCGTTGCATTGCATTGCCAAAATACCGTTGTATAGTAAAAAAGTATACTAATTTCGATAAAAAAGTGACAAAAAAGAATGGAATATCTTTTTTTCGGTATGTATTTCAAAAATTATGAATAATATATTTTTAATTTCTTAAAAAATGTTGCAATTGTACATCGGAGAAGCACTGGTTCCGTGGTAGTTCATGAGTATTTAAGAGATGGCGCTGAATTATTCTACGCCTAATACTGTGAACATTTTTTTTCGCGCGACCATATCTTGACATTTATATCGATGTTCTTACCACAGAAAATATTGTCTAACTACCATTTTTATTTGAAACTAAACTATCTTACGTTCACATCCATCTGACCTACCTAGACCTAGAATATAAAATTGCGAATGAGGTATAGTCATTAATCACAATGTGCAACCTACGCAATTATGACATGGGCATTATTATCAAAACAATAATTTAGGTACTTTTTAACCAGTTTCTGTATTTAAGAACTCACTGTACAAAATTTGATAATTTTTGAATTGCATTAATAAAAAATGCAAGTGAGTAATAATGAATAATTTATTCGAAGAAATATTTCAGTATTTAGATTTTATAAAATATTAGTTTAATTGTTTATAAGTAATAATTAAAGTTAATTTCTGTCGCAGCTCAATTGATATTTTAAATTTTGATAATAGCATTTTAATTATATAATTTTAATGTTGCTTACTTATTACCAAGGTGAGGTAGGTATCATAAAGGTACATATAAAACAATATAAGGTCCAGCGAGGTAAATGCAACTACCGCGAAAATGCAACTATTTTAAATAATTTCCCGCCATTCAATTTCTACGAATAATGCCATCGTTAAAAGTATGCGGGAACAAAAACTCTTTCTAGATACAAAAGATGGCACTGATTTCGTTTACCCTGCTTGAGCTACAGTGACATTTTAATATCCGCCATTTTAGTTGATGTTTACGGAGGAGTCAGCGTGTACGTTTTTTGAGAAAAAAAATATCTAATTTCGGCTGAAACTAATGGTCTTTTTAACATAAAGCGGATTTTGTATAAGGTAAGGCTTTTTGTAATATTTATTCGCTAGTATGACTCTCGTATTAAGTGATAAAGCTAGAGTTACAATAGCCCCTTGAAATCGCATTGAGGGGAAATTGTGACTTTTTAGGTTAGTTTAAGGTTAGTTGCAATTACCACACCAAATTTGTATGAAATTCATAAACGTTAGAGATGTTGCAATGTCGATATTTTTAATAAGGTTCTGTTATTTTTGCTTAGTACGTACGAAGTAGTAATACATTTTTTACTCTTGAGTCACGAATAGTATGAAAGTGAAAGTTTGTGTAAGTACGTGTGTTTGTTACTCCTTCACGCTAAAACGGATGAACCGATTTTCATGAAATTTGGTATGGGAACTACTTCTTTATCCCGGGAAAAGCGGGACATTACTATTTTAATATAAATGCAAAAGTTTATAAGCTTGTTTGTATGTTTGTTAACGCTTTAAGCTTAAACACCTAAACGAATCTAAAGCTAACGATCTCTAAATGAAATTTAGAATGAAGATATATTATGATTATTTGTTTTTTTTTTTAGATGGTGCGGAACTACAAAAGAAAAAAAGAGACCAAATACACAGAAGAACAGTTGAATGAAGCAGTTGTAGCTGATCGCACAAAAAAAACTTGACAGCTATGATGCAGCACAAAGATACAATATACCGAGATCTACAATAATCTCTAGACTATATGGTACTCGAGGAGCTAAAATGCCCAGAGTTGGAAGACCTGGTGTATTTTCTACTGACATCGAAAAAAAAATAGCTTCGTATATTCATATCCTCGAAAAATGTGGATATCCACTGACCAAAAAAGAAATAATTGCTATGATTTCGGAATATATCCGTAGAAACGGTATAGGGACTCCCTTCAGAAATGACGTACCAGGGAAAGAGTGGTTCTTAGCTTTTCGCAAGCGACATAAGCTCTCATACAAAAAACCACAATCTGTGAAAATTGCACGGAAGAGGGCATGCAACCCGTTTGTTATATATGAGTATTTTGATTTGCTTGAAAAAGTTACTCGGGAGTTAGAACTTGGCAATAAACCCGAACAAATTTATAACTTAGATGAGACGAGTTTTTGCTCAGATCCATCTAAAAGCAAAATTGTTGGATTAACTGGATTCCAATCAACTAGGACGACAAGTGGCCCAGCTCGCGAAAATACGACAGTTTTGCTCGCTGCTAATGCAATTGGAGGAAAAATACCGCCTTTGGTTATATTCCAGGGCAAATATTTATGGAACGAATGGATGTACCAAAACGAAAATATAAAAACTGCCTATGCAGTTAGCCAAAAAGGATGTATGGAGACTACTATTTTTGAAAAGTACTTGAAAGATCTTTTCATATCCGCCGTCGGTGACAAAAGACCCGTGTTGCTGATTTACGATGGGCACTCCACACATGTAGATTTGAATGTGATCGAATTGGCAGCAACTAACGGAATCACAATTATAAAATTACCCCCCCCCCCATTCTTCGCATATACTGCAACCCCTAGATTGTAGCGCTATGAAACCGCTTAAGGATAGATGGGAAGATGAACTTGTTAAGTGGCAGCGCTTACATGTTGGTTCAAAATTACCAAAACCAGAGTTTGCAAGAATAATAACGGAAATTTGGGATTGTTTGAATCCAGTGATTTTGGAAAACGGATTCAAAAGAACTGGAATTTTTCCTGTTAACCGGGACGCAATTGGGAAAGACAAATTTGATTCTTTTTCGTGGAAAAAGTGACAGCAATTCATATAAAATCAACAAACTGCCTTTAATATTAATGAAAAGTGAGTTGACGATAATACTACAGTTCAACAATCACCCAACCAAACAATCAAACCAATCGATCGATTGTAGTACACAAGGACAAAAAGAATTCCAAATTCAAGGACAAGGTAAAACGTTTTTGAATGACTCAATAACACCTCACTACAACGTACCAAGTCTACTGAGCTTGGCTATTAATAAAATAAACTCATATGTGGATTCTAAACAGAATATTGATTCTTACGTTTCAAAAGAGGAAAAAATAAAAATACTTTCTGATGTAGTTATTGTACCAGCAAATTTTAATAAAAGTAACAATAATGAAACCTTCCAGCTCAAAAATGTTACGGAAAACATATCATTGGAGCAGCTAATTTTGCAGTCTATTGCTCGAAATGATCCGCTTAAGAAGACTAAAAAGCGCGTTGAGTGTTAACTCAAGGAGCAGAAGTACTAACATATAAAGATTCTATAGAGAAAATGAAGAATGACTTGAAAGAAAGAAACGAGAAAGAAGCAAAGAAAAAGAACAAAAATAAAGGATTTAAACAGAACAAGATACACAAATCGAAAATGAATCAAAACTTCGAAGAGCAGAAAATTATTCACGGATTTTTATCAGATAAGGACAGTGCAGACAACGAAAAGAAAGTTCATAAAAAAGAAAAAAAGAAAGTATTCGACTCGAATGTAAAAAATTTAAAAAATAATAAAAATCACAAGAAAAAATATTGCACCAAAAATCAAAAAGTGACAAAGCATAAAAGAGACAATTTGACAGTGAATCGAGCTCATTAACATCAGATTGCTATTTTTAATTAGCAGACACTGATAACTCGGATTATGAAAATTTTGAAGACTACATAGCTGCATGCTTAAGCGAAGATGAGGAAAAAGAAAACTACCCAACAGAAATTAAATTTGGCTTGTCTGACATTGAATATTTTGCCGATGAAAAAAAAATCAAAAACGATGATTGGATAATAGCCCAATTTACTATAAAAAAAGTGTGAAGCACTTTGTTGGCCAAGTTTTGACATTAGATGATGCAAAATGTCCAACAGTAAATTTTGTAAGAAAAGTTAAAACGTCAAAAGCTAAAGTGGGAACCACGTTTACTTATCCAACGGTAGATGATATTTGTACCATCAAACATTTAAACGACATTGTTCTTATGTTACCTGAGCCAACAATTACTCGTCGAAGGCAATTCATATTCGATTTTAATTTCAGTAATTATAATGTCCAATAAATGTCATAATGAACATATGTTTATTGCACATTATATTTGCCGGTGATGGCAATTAAATGGTTTGATGACATTTTTTTATTTTATATAAGTACATAGTTAACTGTTTTGTCGAGTTACCATAAATGACTAAAATTTTCAGCTGAATTTGTTGAGAAATAATAATAATTTAATAAAAACAGATTTTAAAACACTTTTTTTTCAATGTTACTCTTTTATCCATTACTGGCTGGGCTCTACGGTTTTACCCCGCAAACACACACACACACACACACACACACACACACACACACACACACACACACACACAACACACACACACACACACACACACACACACCCATCACGGACTTTCTTACAATGGTAAGAACATTATTATATTGTATAACCTTGACCTAATGCAAACTCTTTATTTTACTGCATATTAAATGTATATTTAGTAAGATACTAGACCTAAGTTAGTTTTTACTGTTATTAATAACTTTCTTACTTAGATTTTTTGTACAAAAAGTGACGAGAGACCTTATCGATAAACTATGATAATATATCATATCCCATCACTATTCTCGAAAAAAGAGTTGCATTTACCCCTTAACATTTTTTAACAAAATTTTATAGTAATTCAAACCTTCTAACGCTGATTTAAGAACTATTATCGGAAAAAAGACAATACAGATTACAACTTACACTCATTTAAAATGTATATTCATAATCTATAGCATACTTACAGCTTACAGTTGCAATTACCCCGGTGTGGGGTAAATGAAACCTTGTGCGTTCTTCTCGCAGAAATTATTTATTTAAGGCTTTTTCATAAACTAATAAACCTAATCATCATATTAGTAGCTTTCAGTGATACATAGGGCACTTAGTAAAAACAATGTTTTTTTATTTCAGGCTCATCAAAAAATGGGTACATGAATTCAAGGTTTTGTGCTCATATTTTTATATATATATATATATACATATATATATATATATATATATATATATATATGTATATATATGTGTGTGTGTGTGTGTGTGTGTGTGTGTGTGTGTGTGTGTGTGTGTGTGTGTGTGTGTGTGTGCGTGTGCGTGTGCGTGTGCGTCTGCGTCTGCGTCTGCGTCTGCGTCTGCGTCTGCGTCTGCGTCTGCGTGCGCGTGCGCCGCGTGCGCGTGCGCGTGCGCGTGCGCGCGCGGCGCGTGCGCGTGCGCGTGCGCGTGCGTGCGTGCGTGCGTGCGTGCGTGCGTGCGTGCGTGCGTGCGTGCGTGCGTGCGTGCGTGCGTGCGTGCGCGTGCGTGCGTGCGTGCGTGCGTGCGTGCGTGCGTGCGTGCGTGCGTGCGTGCGTGCGTGCGTGCGTGCGTGCGTGCGTGCGTGCGTGCGTGCGTGCGTGCGTGCGTGTGCGTGCGTGCGTGCGTGCGTGCGTGCGTGCGTGCGTGCGTGCGTGCGTGGCGTGCGTGCGTGCGTGCGTGCGTGCGTGCGTGCGTGCGTGCGTGCGTGCGTGCGTGCGTGCGTGCGTGCGTGCGTGCGTGCGTGCTGTGCGTGCGTGCGTGCGTGCGTGCGTGCGTGTGTGTGTGTGTGTGTGTGTGTGTTTGCGTGTTTATAAGTAATAGAAGTTGCACATTGATGTAAATAAGATTAAGGAATTCAAGTGTTATTGTACTAGATTTTATCGATTTACAAATGGTAGTACCAATAGTACTTACAAAAAAATCAGCCTTTATAGTATGCAAATCTTAGATATTATTTGCATAATTTTTGGTAACACTAATATTCCTATTTAACTAAGAATAACCAAGACCAAGTTTTGAACTGCAATTAAACGTAATAAATAGATTTTTTAATATGATATAGTGAAAGTTGTATTTCATTTGGTTTGTCAAAATATATGTATCGTAAAACAGCATAATTTTGCCCGATTCGCCAACGTGTATCTATCGTGACATTTTAAAGCGAATATTACCAAAAAAAAATATACTATTGGTATTTTCTATGTTCAAAACAAAACCAAATATTTGTTAAATTTTATTTATTGACAACAACGCCATCTATTATTACATGGTAACATTAATTTGTATTAATAAGCCTGCTTAGTGTGAAACCTCATAAAGTTATGTTATATAGGCTACAGATGGCGCTAAAAAATTTAGGTACTTCTTAACCAGTTTCTGTATTTAAAAAAATTCACTGTACAAAATTTAATAACTTTTTAAAAGTCATTATTTAAGTCAGTGTACAAACAAATTACTGTAACAACGCCATTTGTTGGTACTCTATTATTGTAGAAAGACAAAACAAGAATATTATAGACAGCTAGTTTTCTTTACTATAAAATATCCTCGCAAGAATTTTGGTCTGATTTTGATTCCTCGACTTCAAGCTTAGCTCCTGGTAATTCATTTTAATAAAATATAGATGGCGCGTTTTCATCAACTCAACTAGAATTTACTAGTCTTATGTAGTGTTGCTAGGTAAACGATAATTACCTTATTTCTACGGAAAGAGATGTTGATGTCTGCACCCGTAAGTACAGTAATAAGTATCACAGGTTTCGTTTATAAGATAGAACAGAAATCGAACAAAATTCCCCTCACACGTCACTAAAAAAAAATATAGTACGTGAGGCTAATATGGTCATCCGGTTAATATGGTCACTTTCTAATAACTCTAAAACTACAGCTTTGTTTACATAGATGACTTTGTGATAGGATAGCTCTTCATCGGTCAATCAAATAATAAAGGGTCGAAAGGGCGCTGCTTTACTGACGCCATTTTGATAGTTGATATTATAGAAAATATTTAAGTAGATTTTAGTATGGAGTAATGTAGTTAGTTTTCTTGAGTAGATTTTTCTAAGTGTTCAAAATTATTGCCAAGGCTTGTTTGCTATTTTTTCCTAATATATTACTTATAGTATTAGACTTTGTGTTTTTGCCTCTGTCCTCCTCCTAGTCTTGGTTTTATAGGGCGGCAAAGCTTAAGGGAACCATATTACCCTCATGTTCCTTATTGTTTTTTTTTTAATTCTTTCGCTATTATATTATAGTAGAAAATAAAACGTCGGTCAGTGATTGAAATATAAATAAAAATTGCGATAAATCACTGGCTGCCAATTAAACTAGCTCAGAAAGAAGACGATTTTATTGGCAATTCTATGGATCATGTTATACAAAATAAGAAAATTAGATTTTGACTGACTTTTTTTGAGTAAACTAGCTGGTAGAGTGTTTTTAATTCAATTGTAGTTTTTTTTTCTTCCTCCAGAGATCATTTTATTCCTGTTGAAAAAATACCCTTATGGTTATGGCTAATAGGCTTTTAATAAAAGCGTTTTTAAGAAAGTTTGGACTATGCTAAACTTATTACCTTGGTAACACTGTTTAGCGCTTGCCAGTAGCCATAGACCATCTCTAGTATATATACAGTAATCTATGTTAGCGACTTTGTCGTTAAATTTAACGAGTTTTTTGTTCATTTATGGAGTTTAATTGAATGCTTAAAACAACAAAAAA